TTTTCAGAACTGGGGATTGAACTCAGGCTCTTGCACTTGCCAAGGAAGCGCTTATCCCACTGAGCCATCTCCCCAGCCCCTGATTTCATAATTTTTCCTACCAACTTTTATACCTCATTACTGTCTTGTCTTTTTTTTTTTTTTTTCCTGGAACTGGGGATTGAATTCAGGCCCTTGTGCTTGCCAGGCAAATGAGTATTCTACTGAGCCATCTCCCCAGCCCCTCCATTACTATCTTTTGTACTATAGATGTAATACATGTATTATGAACTATAATGTAGAAAACAGCTCTTGCCTTAAACTCATTTTTTTGGTTTGTAGAATTTTTTTGACACTGGGAATTCAACTCAGGACCTTGTGCTTGCCATGCAGGCACTGTGTCACTCAGCTATATCCCTGGCCCAAACTCATTTTTTAAAAGGAAAATTTTGGTTGGATACAGTATACATCTGTAATCTCAGTACTGTAGGAGACTGAGGCAGGAGGATGTCAAGTTCAGGCCCAGCTTAGGTAATTTAGCAATTTGGTAAGACCTGCCTCAGGGCCCAGATATTTATTTGTGGTGTTCTTTCATTTGACGTACATAATCCAGTTTCTATACTCATGGGCCATAGAGTTCACATTCAACTAGATTAGAAATACTCGGGGTGGGGGAATGCATTTATACTGACCATAGATGGATTTTTATTCCTTTTCCCTAAACGGTGTGTTGCGATGGCTGTGTGCATGCCACTTACACTGTGTTAGCAATAATCTAAAGTGAATTGAAAGTGGCAGAATGTGCACAGGCTACATGCAGGCATGATGCCACTTGATGAGGGACATGAGCACCCATGGATCATGGTGTCTAGGAAATCCTAAAACCAAGTCCCAAAGAGCTCAAGGGATGATTAAAATTCCTTCACTTGGTATAATTACCTTGTGCCTCAAGAATTGCCTTTCACACTTCCTTGCTCTGTTGGACAATAACTTTTGAGTTCCTTTCTACCAGACCTTTGAGAAGGTTCTTCTGAGTATTTTGGCCTCACAGGCTGGGTACTCAGGTTCTCCTCCCTAGTGCTTTGCTTTAATGTGGCATAATGGTTCTGCTGGGAACTGGGAGATCTTGTCATTATCTGATTGCTCCCAATATTTTCTCTTTCTTGGGTGGTGTGCACTTGGGTATTTGGCCCAGGAGTCTTTTCATACCATACTGCTTGGTAGTCTGTAATCTCTATGTGTATCATTCAGCAAATTTTAGGACATTCTGGCCATTGTTTTTCTTATATTTAGTACAGGGTCTCACTGTGTAGATTGGACTCGTAGTGATTCTCCCGTTTTCAGCCTCCCAAGCACTGGGATTACAGGCACATGCCACCACATCCAGTCTCAATTGCCTTCTCAGTGAGCCCCGGGAGCGGGGGCGGGGCCACTGCCTGCACAGCATACCAGAGATCAAACCCAGGCTGCTGTGCTCTGCCTAAGCAGGCACTTTAGTCTGCTGAGCTATCTGGCCAGCCCTGGCCATTGTTTCATCAAAATTTTCTACCCTGTTTTTCTTCTCCCGACTATGTGTGTAATAGGCTTTTTGATACTGTCTCATAAGCCTCAGAGGGCTCTGTGAACTTGTTTTAATCTGTTTTCCTTCTCTGTTCTTCTCTAACACATATATGCAGCTACTCAAGTCCTTGTCACCTGGAGGCTGGTCTGTGTTCTCTCTTCAGAATGGGTCTCAGGCCAGCAGCTTAACTGCCTACCTGGCAAGTGCAAGGTCCTAAGTTCAGTCCCTGGTACTAAAAATAATAATGGGTCCCATTTTCCTGGTTGTTGCTACTGAGCTGCATCTCCATCCTTTTTATTTTGAGCAGTCTTACCTGTATTGACAAAGCTGGGCTGAACCTTGCTATCTTCCTGCCTCAGCCCGAGTCCTAGGAATTGCAAATATGCACCACCTTGCTGAGCTGAAGTGTTGGTTTGAACAGATGGGTAAAACACCCAAACTCACACTCAAGAGCTGTACCTTCTCTCTTCTCTGCATCTGAGTTGTTTTGAACAAGTGGCTTAGGTACTGCTCAGAGCTCTGGGCAGGTGACACAAGCCATGGGTGGGACACTTCTCTTCCTGCCTACCCCTGGAGACAGATTCCTTACCCCCTTGTGCAGCTATATCCCCAGTCCTGCTCTTAGCCTTCTGAACCAGAGAGCCCTTCCCCCACACATCCAGCCCTTTAGGGCTCCCCCAGGTTCTTACTGCTTTTGTGCCATCTAGTGACTTCAGGCTGATTCACAGGGGAAGGGAAATTAAAGTGGCACTTGATGTCACCTTTTAAAATTCTCTTGGGGTCAGGGACATAGCTCAGTAATACAGCGCTTGCCTAGAAAAGGCAAAGTCAGCCAGCACCAAAAACAAAATAGTGGTTCCCTTGTGCTACTGACCAGTTACTAAAGCCTAGTGTCCCAGGTTTCTTCCTCTGCATTGTTTCCCACCTGTCATCTGACTGTCCACAAAAGGGCAAGCATGGCAGGGCAAATGACCAGCTGCTGAACCTGGCCCCACATGCCTGCAGTGCGCAGTTCCTTTGTGCCATGCAGTCCGGTAGTGTTTGGTGTCAACTTGGGAAATGTCACTCAAGCCAGAACACAAGGCACAGGGGCCCCATTTGGGGCCTTTGGGAAGCCCTGACCATGTGAGGTGAGGCTGGAGTGACAGGTACCTGGAGATGCCAACTTGGGTCCTTGGAGGGGAAACAAATGTGTGGAAGGAACTGGAGGGAGGATGGACTAGATGTGCCTCTAGACTTGGTGGCCAGACAAGGCTGAGGGAACCCTAGATGGAATTTTGAAGTGGGGGTGCCCTAAAGGTGGGGATGAAAAGTGGATCCAGAGCTGGAGGCTCAGACCCACTATTTCCATGTGCTTTGGCCACTGTGCATGCCTGAGGCTGTGAGCAAATGCAAGGGCCCCATCTTTATTCAAGTCTCCAGAGGAGCTGCTGGCCCTTGTTTTAGCTTTCTGGCTGCTGTCATTCTGTCACCCAGCTGTAGTGCAACTTGAAACAACACAGCCTCTCCATCCACCTATTTCCCCATTCTCCCATCTGCTTGACACTTTTTCCATTCTTCAGAAAAAAAGCCTGCAAATACTTTGAGCAAGGCAAAGGGACCTGCCCATTTGGAAGCAAATGCCTCTACCGCCATGCTTACCCTGATGGGCGGCTGGCAGAGCCTGATAAGCCCCGGAAACAGCTCAATTCTGAAGGCACTGTAAGGGTAAGCACAGGGCATGGGGCCACTGTGGGAGACACTGAGCTAGGGGGGGGATGAGGACATGGAGCTGTGGGCTCATCCTCTGACCCTCTATCTCAACAGTGTATGGGTTGGCCATGAGGACATGGGCACAGCCTGCAGGTCACCTTTGGTGGTAACTGGTAAGCTTGGTGTCTGTCTTTGCAGTTCTTTAATTCAGTGCGGCTCTGGGATTTTATCGAGAACCGTGAAACCCATCAGGTCCCCAGCACAGAAGATGTGGATGTGGCTGAGCTTGGGGACCTCTTTATGCACCTTTCTGGAGTGGAGTCGCTGGAACCCTGAAGGCAGCAACTGCCCTGCACCTTGGGCACCGGTAGCCCCACCTCTGCCAGGTTGCCGCCACATGTAGCCCACCAACTGGAGTTGAGCAGATGATCGTTGCTTTTGATCTTACCACTCCAGTGTGACAGTCCAGGGACATAAGGAAGATATAAAATAAGCTACTAAGCATATACAGTCACTGTTTTTATAGCTGATATCTTAGCTGCACCTGCAGCCCCTTGAGCGGTCAACTGTCTGGACTGCTTTGATTTTAGGGCAACCTGGCTTTTTGATGTTTTCTCCTTGCAAACAGTAAACTGGTAACTAAAGCAGCAGATTCGCTATTCTTATTTCTTACCAAAGGATTCTACAGACCTGCAAAAGGATTACTCTCCAGTGAATCACTCTCATGCACTAAACAGATCAGAATGCTGTGTTTGAACAACTGATACAGACTCCATGCTGAACTGAGTTCCTCCAGTGCTCCAGGCCCAAGCTGTGGGCATGCTGCTGTGTGTACAGCAATAAGGAGAGCTCCATCTTCTGCCTGGGAAATAGGTCCCCTGCCCTCCTGGGAGCTCATGTCCACCATTGTCATTCTGAGGGCTCTTAAGTCCATATTGCTAATACTCAAGGCTATCCCATCTTGCCTGGAAAGCCTGGTTTAGGTGATGATTTGTAAAGACTTTAGCTCACTGAAAGCATTTTCCAATCTTGAATCTTCTGAGATCAGTTTGATTTTAACTGAAGACTTCATGTGACCATACAAGTCAGACCAATTTTTCCAAACCTGAATTTATTTTTGTAAAAACCTATAATTACCAAATGTTTCATAAAGTGCATTACTTGAAGTGTGGGTAGAAGCTCTCTTATCTGACTTTTAGAGTTCCTTTTTGCTCTTTACAGTTAGGCTAGACGAAGTCCACTGCCTTGAACTCTGCTGCAGAAGAAAGGAAGCAAAACTGCAGTGGGAGTCTGTCTTGCTTCAAAGGGAGTTAACAGCCATCAAACTTAGATTTAATTTATTTTATTAAAATAACATAATTGAAGAACAATCAGATAACTTGTATTCTTGTTGGGTGCAATAAAAACAAAGTTAAAACCCAGATCAAGAAAACCTGGGTCCTGGCTTCCTTGCATACACGACACAGAGGGTGACTTGGGACAGGGCTGGCCAGCACTCGCCCTGGGGCAGCTCCTGGAAGACAGATTCGGTGAGGCGGGGCTGCTCCTGGGGAAGGCAGATAGGACGCAGGGACACGTCCCCACAGTCAAGTTCCATAGTACCAAAAGCAGGCTCTCCGTGGCCGGCAGTCCTGGCTGTTTGGTGCATCATGTGCAAAACTGTTTGGCCCTGCACCACTGTCTGAGAGGTGAAAAAGCCAGTTTCCAAACATCGTGTTTCCCCACAGTGGGGCCACCACCTTTCTCCCCTCTAAATCATTCCCTCTCTCGCTGCCAGCCAGGGTCCAGCACAGTATTGCATGAGATCTGTGTGCACCTGGAGAAGGCTGGGCCCAAAGGGATGAGGCAGGAAGGCAGCCACCAACTTCCTCCTCTTGGGGCCATGTGGGTAGAGAAGAAGGCAACGTGAAGTAAGGCCCTGTGTGTGTTCTAGAAGGTCCTTAGCAGCTTTTGTAGACACGTGCGCTTCGCCTCAGGATGGCAGACGAGTGGTGCTGCTGACTCCCTCCCTCCCCGGGTGCAGAGCCAACTAGAACACAGGCAGCCGCGGGGATGTGGTCAGGGTACATGCGTTGATGTCCTCAGTGTGTGCTGCCCGGTGCAGGGATGGCTCAGATGCGCTCCGGTTGATCTTGGGCAGAGAGTGCTGGAGCAGCTCAATGGAAGACAGGATCTGAAACCCAGTGATGAGGATAGTCAGCTGGTACTTTTGGGCCAGGTCCCACCACCACCCTAAACTTGTCCTACATCCTTCTAAGACCTCACCTGAGGGAAGAGAGGCCGCTCCTCCTTCACTTTCTTCACACAGTCTGCCACCAGCCGCTTCATGGCCTTGGGGCAGTTTTTGTAGAGCTTGCTTAGGTCTGGTGATGCATAACCTCGGCCCACCATAAAGATGATCTAAGGGAAGAGAATGGTGAGTGGTGGAAGGGGACCCAGAGGTCCACAGGCAGCTGGGGGCTAAGGTGCAGTGTATCACCTGGTCACGGTTGTTGATGTGGGAGTAAGGGAGTTCCCCCGTCATCAGCTCATATAGCACAATGCCATAGGAGTAGACATCAGACTGAAAGCTGAACGGATTGTTGTCCTGCATGCGAATGACTTCTGGGGCCTGCAGGACAGAGACCCATATATCACCCTGAGGTAGCCCCATAGATGCCAGGACCAGGTAGTCACTAAACCCAGTTCAGGGTTTAGTGTCTACTGAGCTGTTGTATGCATACCAACTCCCACTTGACTTCTCTCCTGCTCCCTCAGGAAGCATCATCTGCCAAGTGTGCCAAACTCACCATCCATAGCACAGAGCCAGTGGGCTGCTCCACCTGCTGAGAGCCACTCCATCGTGACTTCACAGTTGCCAAACCAAAATCGCCGATTTTCACCGTTAGGCCTTCATGGAGAAATATATCTCAATGCCTGTTAAGGACTCTGGCTTCAACAGTTGGCCTAATTTGAAAAAACTTCCAAAAGTGCTTTTCACAGTGACCTCTACTAACCCTCACGCAGCCTTCTCTGCCCTGCCTCTGCTAAGTTTGGGAAGCTTTGAAAACTACTTTCAACTTCCTCCTTCTAGGATACAGGAACTGCCCACCGCCATATCCTGATGAGGGCTCCCTCACCTTGTGACCTTCCCATGTGATGAGGGAGCCAAGTGTGGACTGATGACTGCCCACACTTGACACTTGTGAGCCAGAAGAGACAGAATTCCTCCCTGAGTGCCAATGGCTGACATTCAGAAATTTCCCACTTGGTGTCCTCACAGCAACTACCTCCTAAATAAAGAATCAGGAAGTGTACATCTGACTGTGGCCTGGCCCAGGAATTCATGCCTACTTAAGTCAGTGCAGTCTGATATCATGGTGTACTATTTTGATGCCCAAAAAAACCCACCAATGAAAGGCATTCTGTACCTGAGACAAGTATACATAACAGCCACACTGGCCACCTCTCCTGATCCTACTCCACACCCCTGCCTTGACCCTGCCCAGCAACACACTCCCTGCATAGACAAGCATTACATGCCACACCACTTAGTGTGAAGAAAGCCTCATCCCTTCTTCCATGAAACATGTAAGGTCACACTGAAACCACCATGACCTCTAAAGTACTCCTGTACCTTCAAGACAATGTTCAGTATTAATTTTGGCAATCTTACTAGAATAGCATACAGCTACTTTCTTACCAGATACACAAACACAATGTCATAAACTAGGAATAAAAAGTGCAATAAAAACAGGAGTATTTCAAGTTTCAACACTTTAAATCATTGTTGCTGAGAAAAAAACCTAGAAAAATCACACTTCCTAGACACTGCTTCTCACAGTACAGGAGGCAGAGGCAGTCTGATTTACCCTTGAGGTCTGCTGCTCCAAGCACAAACATTTTGCTTCTTCCTGTTTTTTGCCTCTTTCCCTAAAAAGCTGTCCCCTAGCACTGAGGTCCACTTGATAAAAGTCACCCTTGTTTGCTAATTCTGAGCTGAGATACCCAGTGACAGAAACAGCAAAGGATACTGTTGGATTTCATGTCCCGGTGGATAATGTTCTTCGCATGCAAGTAGCTGTGAAGGGAAATATATCTACTAAAAACAGCTGGACAGGCAGGTTCAAACCATAGCTGAAAAATGAAGCCACCTGTGGGCCTCCCTCTGGTGGGAGACCGATGGGCTAGTGTAGTCCACATCACCACTTACCCTAAGGGAGTTCAGACAAATGTGCTGGTGCTTTAAGCATCAGTTTTATTCTAACCTACTGCCTACCAGCTGATGGGACAGGATGGTACAGCCTGTTCCTATGAAGGAGCATTAGTTCCAAAAATGAAAAGCTAAGTAAGAGAAGGCAGGGACAGAGGACCAGGTGATTTACATCTCCTAGGATTCTGATGATACAGATATATAAAACCAGAGACTGGAAGGAGAGGCGCCCAGGGGCTGGAGTAAGGAAGGACAGGGTAACAAGGAACACAGAGGTGTCTTTCTGGCTAATAGAGTAGTGATAAACACTGTATACACATGGAGGATGGCAAGCTTTATGGTATGTGAATTACAGCAATAAATTTTCTAAAAAGGTATTAGTCTGTTACTAAAATTTAGTTCCCTGTGAGGGCACCTGCCACAGAAATTCTGAAGGATCCAGGGAAGGCAAGCACCCGACCCCCACCCCCAAGCTGTGGGCAGCTGGGCTAGAGGAGACCTCGTCAGGTACAGACTTGAAAGTACTGGAGAACCTAGTGCTGAGATGCCTGCGGGCTTTATCTGCCCACAGTTAACTGAGCTGGGACCCTGCAAGCGGTGTTCAGAGGCTTCTGGATGATTTTCAAGTGTAGCCTGGCCAGTAAGGACCTACAACAGGTCCCAGTGCCTGACCCTTGCCCACAGGCTCCTTGATAGTCAGCACGCAGGCCGCTTGGCATCACTCATGGCTCACTGAAAGGCTCTTCCAGTTCTGGCGTCCACTTAGGGACCAGCTCTGTGCTCAGCCATTCATACTCACTCCATTCCCTGTGCTGTCTGTCGAGCGATGTCAATCAGTTGGAACATCTGGAACTTGGTCTCCTGGACATGCAGGTGTTTGTAGAGGCTACTGCCCTCACACCACTGTGTTACAATAGCCAAGTTGTCCTTCGTCATGTATCCCATGAAAAGCAAGATGTTCACATGCCGCGTTTTGCTGGGAAAGAGAAAGAGGATGCTCAGAAGTCTCCACTGTTCCATGGCTTAGACCTTTGTGTCCTCACTACCACCAGCAACAGCCCACACCCCAGCTCAAGCTCTCAGCCACAATGTACCATCCGCAGTGCAGGCCTTGTCCAAGGGTTATATTCTCTCTGACCAGTGACATGGCTCTCCATGAGCCGCAGGACCTGGCCCCTATGGAATACTCCACCACCCCAACCCTCTCTTGAGCAGAGCAGCAACACAGAATATGATGCTCAAGTTTTGAAACCCAGAGTAAAGGAACTTGGCTATAAAACATTTGTGTAAATTAAGGTAAAAATGGAATCTACTCCCAACATCAAACAAAAACCTAGAGACAGAACTGGGCATTAGTGCAATGTGCCTAGATGGGGTCCACGTGACAAGAGCATGTCCACCTCCAATGTAGAAAAATCCCTCCCTGCCTTGGGGATAACACATGGCCACCTCAAGGACAATACTCACCGCAGCACTGCCACCTCATTCCTGAAGGCCTGGAACTGCTCTGGGGTTGGGTCTACCACTTTCAGGATCTTCACTGCCACATCTCCTGTAAACAAGATCATAGTCAGCAAACTCAGCCCAACAGGCTGTGAGGTGTTTCCATGTACTCTGTTGCTGAGGAAGATACAGGGCATCACTTCTTTGGAGTCTATCCTTTAGAAAGACAGACCTGCAAATGTCTAAATCAAGTGCCCAAAAGAGCCATAGTTTCATTTCCATCCTTACCCACCTGAGACCTGTGGCAAGCTTCAACAATCATAGATAGTTTATACCCTGGCAGCACCACAAGTGACAATGTACATAGCAGTGGCCCCTGTGGCCCAGGAGGTTAAGGCCAGTGCATGGTCCTAGACAGCCCAGCAACAAGCTGTGTGAAGCGCTAGACCAACTGGCCAGCAGAGACATCTCTTGTAAAAACAAATCAAACACATGTATTGAAGTGAGCTATCCTACCTTCTACTCTATTAAAAAGCACTCTAAAGATAAACAGCTACTGTGCCTACTCCTGTGCACTCTCCCCTCCTCCTAGGTACACTGTAGCACAAGCACCACGAGCCCGTTTCTAACCATGAGAGACACTTGCCCCCAGCTATGCAACTGATTACGGTGAGCCCCGAGTGCTCCAGGCCTACACCATACACCTGTGCCTGCAACACAACTGCCAGGTGCCAACATGACTCAGAACCATGACTCAGATATATCCTTGCTTGACTCTCCTTTATGTCCCAGATGTTACCCAATGTGGTTACAGTGGTGGTTATGACCTCCACCCCACAACAGGACCCTAGAGGGACACTCGTGACAAGCAATTTACAAAGCCCAGGCCTTCCCATGATGCCAGCAGCAGTAAGCGGCAGGACCAGAGGGCAGGAGTGCTATTTGGAACACACAGGTGCACCCACCATGGACAGATGGCACTGCCAGCCTGCGGCCCACCTGCCCCGATTTTAAATGTCATGATAAATCTTTTAAAATAATGGAAGCTTTGTGATGGATATACACAAACTATCCTATACAAATTATATCTGTTGCCCAGTGTGGCTCAAGTGGGTCACAGATGAGATGCACCCAAGCCACGATGTGTCCTGCTCCAAAGCACCCTCCAAAACCTCTCAAACACCTGTACGCCTCTACCCACTTTACACAGGGGACACACACTGTGCTGTCTTCTCTGTCTTGGAAAGCAGGTGTAGGTGGAGCATAGGGCTGCTCCCTTTGACAAGACACAGGGCAGATGCCCCTGTGGGAAGATGGAAAAGGGCTTCTGGGGGAATGGGGTACCAGGCAAAGCTGGCTCAGCGAAAGAGTGGATGCTGCAAGGCAAGGACAGACTCCTCTGGGGGATCTGGCCTAGGACTGGCGTAGGACAGAGGGGTGGGCAGCCCAGGTTAGAGGCAGGCACAGGAGCCAACAGTGATAACGGCAGGAGGGAACAGATGCAAGAGCTGTGAAGGGATAGCAGCCTGTGTGGCAGTCAGGCAAGCAGCAGGACCAGAGAGACGGCTGGTGGCTTGGGTCCTGTTAAGCGCACAGCACAGCTTCCACATGGAACACAGGTAGTATACATGGCCCTGCCAGCCAGCTCAACATTAAACAGGGTAGCCAGGCATTGTAGCGTATGCCTGTAATCCTAGTACACAATAGTGAGACAGGAGGACCACTGTTAGTTCAAGACCAGGTTGGCCTAAAAAGTGAGTTGAAAGTCAGCCTGAAATGCATAGTGAAACCCTTTCTCAAAAAGACAGACAAAACAACAACAAAAAAAACCTTTAAACAGGGTGACAGACTGCATTGTTTCTTACTAAGGCCACAGAGGTATACTTCTGCAGGATAGCTTTGGTCTGACTTATGTGTAAGTGATCCACATAGCCACTAAGGAACTCCAGTCTGTTGGGATGGATAAACAACCCCTACAGAGCAAGGGCTTAAACTCAACAGAAAGAATGGCTTTCTACAGGTGTTGACATTATTTCCCCTCCTTCCAGAAAGCAGTGGCCAGACCTTGGCGGGGGTCTAGGACAATCTGGGCCCCATTTCACCCAAGTTATGTCCAACCTCTCCAGGCTCTGCTCCTAGGAGCCTCCCTTCAACAAGCTTCTCAAGTTGGGCATGGTAGCACATGTTTTAGTTACAGCAGTGGGGAGGCTGAAGCAGGAGGATCACCACAAGTTCGAGGCCAGCATGGACTAGTGAGTTCAAGGTCAACCTGTGTGTTCTCCAAAGAGCCCAGTAAGGGCCACTCTGCACAGCCACCATGCCCCTACAACCCTAGTGGCAGAGTTTTTCCTCACTCTTCTGCCCACATTCCCACCTCTTCCTCAGTGCTTGCATGGCATGTGTGCCTTTCCTCATACACTAGCCACACCAGAGCGTGAACTCCATAAGAGAAGTGCTTCTTTGTCCACAGCTTCATTTCCTAGCCCTAGAAGAATGTATGGTGTTTAGAAATGCTGGAGAAGCACAATTAAAAATGAATGGGTAGAGGCCGGCAAAATAGCTCAGCAGTCTAAAGCACCTGCTTAGGCAAATGCACTGGGACTGCAGTTCGATCCCCAGTACCAATGTTGTGCCTGCCCCACCCCAGGGTGGGCTAAGCCGACCACAAAAAAAAAAAAAAAAGAATGGGTACAAGCTGAGAGCACAATGGGGTTCTCAGGGCTGGGGAAGGATGATCAATGAATGGTCACTCAGTCACAGAGAGGATCTCGAAGTCCTGAGAGTGACTATCCATTAGGGTAACTAAAGATGACAATAATGTTATTTTAAAAGCTGCAAGATCACTTCTTGGCCTTTTGGCTAACAATAAGTGTAAAAGCTTCAGGAAAAGATTATGAAATTCTTAAAATGACAAAACACTGGACACATATGTCTGAATCTAACTTAAGCATCACACAGTGTATGCATATACTGAAACATTACATGGCACGTCATTAATATGTAAAACTGTTTTATGAATCAGTTAAAAATAAATTTTAAGGGAGGCCTAGGCAAAGCACCAGTCAGTGTGACCCACATGTGTGGCCTACAGAAGCCTTGCCAGGCTTTCTGCCTGGGCCACTGCAAGGGGCCCGAAGGACTACATGCCTGGAGAATGGAGGCTATTACTGACACCCAGCAGTAGGGGCAATACGCCACAATAAAGACCCTTTTAGGCCTCTGCCCACTATTTCTCTGACAAACTACTCTTGGTTGTTTCAGTCAGTGAGGCTGAACTCTGCCCAGTAAAAAGCATGCCCAGGCCTCAGTACTATAGGAGGCTGATTTTTACTGTCTCTCTCCTGCAGTGGGGTCCAGTACAGAAGCCATCTCAGTGAGGGGTGAGCAGTGGCTCCTTCCCCATACACTCCCATCCTGTCTAAACGATGAGGGGCCAGGTGGTGAACATCGAGGGTTGATGTTCCTAAACTCCAGGAGGCAACATGGCCACTGCTGTATTTCAATGGTCAAAGACACATGGCTGTCAGGCCCAACTCCACCTGTCTTCCTGTCAGGGACCTGAGTGGCTACAAACAAGTTTTGTTTTTAGTAATACTTATTCTGGGATGAAGGGGTCACAAATCTATTCAACTCTGTGCTGCATCAAACCAAGTCAACGTGGATTTATGTAACAAGAAGTCTGGAGTACAGTAGGCAGCCCCAGAGGATATGAGGCCCCTGCTGTTCCCAGATATTCAGGTCTTTCTGTCCCTCTGTTCTAGCTTAAAGAAGGCTGTACAAACACCTCCCCCAAAAAAATTTTAAGAAGTGAATGAATTCTTTTTTTTTTTTAAGTGAATGAATTCTAAGATGAAACCATAGGTGGAAGGCTAGTGAAGAATGGTTATCTGCAGGAGCTTAGTAAGGAACATTGGGACAGTTTCTCAGGTACAGGCCTTACAGTCTGAGACTGATGTAAAGTTGGCCTCCAACTGCCTGGGCTCCTAGATCTTTCTATAGACACCATCCCTGGGTACCTGCTGACAGGCTGCTGGCTGCTCATTCCTCTGACCTTCTAAGCTCACTCTCAGGAAAGACAGACTATAGGTGACACATTTTCTTTCTAGAATCATGCCAGCCCCCATAACTAGCATGCCTCACCAACGGAAGGCATGTGCTTATGAACCCCAGAAAGCACTGTGTAAGGGGTGAGAACTGTGGTGTTTATGAAGAGAGCTCACAGGGGAGTCAGCAAGGCAGACATTTTTATCTTTTCTTCAGACAAAGTCAGAGGCAAATGTGCTGCAGATGGTCTGACTTTGGCTTTTTCTACCTTACACAGGTATGAAAAGTAAGACATTCCATAGGAACCAGCACAGAATTCTGAATCTGGATGTTGGGGGTTCATGCTACTTCTTCAGTCCTCTTATGATTCACAAGGGAAGCTGCCAGATGCCCCCTGCGCCCCAGGGCTGAGTGAGAAAAGCAGCAGGTAAGGGACAATTGCTGCGTGATGGTTCTTCAGCATTTCTAACCTGAGACAAGCTCATCAGGACTGAAGCACCCTCTAGTGGAGGATTATTGTGCAAACAGGTTACAATGTCTTCATAGTTACACTTTTAAATCAGATATTTATACCTTGTTTGTCAACCACTGTAGAAGGAAGAGCTAGCTTTTTACTTTTTAAAATTTTTTTTTTAAACCAGTACTGGGGGTTGAATCCAAGACTTTTGCACATGATAGGCAAGTGCGCACCACTAATGAGCAATTTCCCAAGGCCCATGCATCTCTACCTGTTTTCAGACAAAGCCTAAACTGCCCAAGCTGCACTAGAACTTGCAATCTTCTTTCCTCAGCAGTTGTGATGACAGGTGTCCAGTTTTGACTTTTACACAACTTTTCTCCTGCTCTGCCCAGAGAGGTTGACTGCCCTTTTAATCACACCGGCTTTCTACAACAGAAGGATGCTCAGTATCCTTCTCTCATTGCCTGCCACTGACAGTGAGCATAGCTGATGCTCCCAAGGGCTCAAAGCTGGCCATGGAGGTCTCCTCCACAGTGACAGAGGCTATCCCTCTTGAGCTGAGCTTCTGTCTCAACTCTTCTAAACTCTCATCACTTGCTTGTATACTGCTGAACTGAGTTCAAACATTTTTTTAAGTGAAAATCATAAGATGGGGGCCAGGGAGATGGCTCAGTGGAATAAGCACTTCCCTGGCAAGTGCAAGGGCCTGAGTTCAATCCCTGGTTCTGGAAAAAGAAAGAAAGAAAGAAAGAAAGAGAGAGAGAGAGAGAGAGAGAGAGAGAGAGAGAGAGAGAGAGAGAGAGAGAGAAAAGAAAATCACAAGATGCTATTTTTAAAACATTTTCAATAGATTATACTGTAAACAAAATTTAAGACACATGAAAGCACAAAACCCCTCAACCCAAAAATTTCTACTTCCTTGGCACTATATTCTTTCTCATTTATACTGTTTCTTGCTCTTTGGGCTTATAGTACCTCTACTGCCAAGGGTAAAAGCTCACAAGGTGGGCAGGAAACAAGCCTACAATCAGTACCGGTAATGAAGGCCTTGAAAAACTATGATGCCCCAAATAAAAGTGCTCAACTGGGGCCGGAGAAATAGCTCAACAGTACAGCACCTGACCAGCAAGTGTAAGATTTGATTCTGGTATACCACCCCCCTAAAAAAATTGCTCAACCAAAGGAAAATCAAAACTGGACACAATATGAATTGCTTCTGTTAGCTTTGAACTAAGGCCTTTGAAAAGGACCATCTACTCCTAATGGAAACACCGGACACAATGCCCATGCTCCCCTCCTCCGACTCCTAACAACTTGTGATGCAGAATGAGCTCTGCTGTAGACCTGTGCCCTTCCTGAGGCCCCTGGCACGTGTGGGATGTCTCAAATACTCCGCAACTGTACCATTTTTCTGGGTAGAAATTAGACATGAGTTTCAAAAGAAAAGAAAGCATAAAAAGATTACCAAAGTTCAGTCTTAAGCTGTTCAGAACCAAGATTTCTCAGATGATTGGCTGCAATGGCCACAAGCGGTGTGCACTCAGGACAAAGGGGTTTCTGTTTTCTGCACTGTCAATTTCAATGCTCCCTTCCCATGAGGCTCTTAAACTTCCTTCACTTTGCCCATTTATCTATACAGACAGTTGTTATGTCATCCAAAATAAAAAACACAGGCACCTACACACTTTAGGAATTTGCTGGACTGGAATCTGAGTTTAGAAGAGATGACTTTTCGGAAACATGGAACATTTCCAAGAAAATACTGCCTTTATTTGCTAACATTCTAAAGCCAGAGGCATTAAAAATCCTGAAACAGAAATGGGAAGTACGTTGCCAAAACAGTGAACATTGCCAAAACATAAAAGCTATACCAAAAATTAAAATAGCACCTTCCTTCTAAGTGACAAAGCATCTTCACTGAAGCAGTGTTTATATCCCAAGAAGTTAGTCCATACATTTCTGCCTGCCAGATGCCCACAGGGCCCAGCAGTAGCAGCTTCCTCCAGAGGGCCAGGCATCTCACCAGGGGCAGATGAGCCCACTCTCCAGACCTTTCTTCCTGTACACTATGCTCAGCAAAGTCCTTCCAAGTTCTGAGTTTCTAGAATTCATGCTCCTACCACCTGCAGCAGGTGCTGCCCAGCAGGTCCCATAAGAGTACTGTACTTAGTTTCCAGTATTTGACTAGAACTCAATTCTTGTTCACTAGTTTACAACTGTCTGAAGAAATTTTTCATCCCAAGTGAAGAACCTTAGCCTACAAAGAACCCTGTGACATTTCACACAAACACCATCAAGATCTATCCTCAAAGGTGGCCTGGTCACCATGGAAGAAGCATGCTGCCAGGTCTCTCTAGCCTGCAACTGTCTGCCCTGAACCTGCAGCCCAAGAAAATCTACACTTACCATGCCACTTGCCCTTATAGACAGTTCCGAAGGAGCCTGACCCAATTCGAGTGGACAGCATCACTTCACTGGCTTCTATTTCCCAGTAATAACTTGAATCTCTCTGTCCTCGAGGCCTCTGGAATAAGGGGAGATTGTTCAATATGGTCCAGGGGAGGCAATGGTCTATTGACAGCCAGGGCATCAATCCAAAGGTCAATCCAACCCCGCCTGTCCCATATCTTTAAAGACAAACACCGTAACTCTCATTTTTTTCTTCGAGAAAATGCCATTTTAGTGTGGAGCACACTGGCAACTTTCTTAAGCAAGCATGCCAAAAATGGTACTAAGATTTATAATCTCACCCATTAAGTATATTTTACTAGAGTCCCATCCCAGAATAAGTTAAGAACACTCTATGGCAGGAAGGCCTGTGGACCACACTCACAATTTTGTTCTTCTCCTGTGTACCAGTTCCTGGAGCACGTTCTCTTTGTGCTGGCACAGGGGTTTTGGGCTGTGACCAGCCTGTAGGGCTCAGGTTGGTGGGGCTGCTGGACAAGGCTGACGGGGAGGCTTAATGAACAAGACAGAGTCCACATGTGCATAAGCCCACAGGAGATACACAGCATAGAGAGAAAGTCCATTATTATTTGCTAAATGACTACAGAAAAATACCTGATTCGCTGTGACTTCGAATTGCATCCTGAAACAGAAAAGGAGAACTGGTCAATCTGTGGGCTAGAAGGAAAGGAGAGGGCATGTATAGGAGTCAAGTGGACTATAAAACTTCTAGCACACAGAAAGTCTAATTCCACACACTAATCTATTCTGTCGATTGAATTCATCAAATGCTGGAGGCCATTTTTTTCCAAAATTGGTTTTTAACCATTAGGAGGCTTAACATTAATCTTTCATATCCAACAGAAATTACATTCTTTGTAAAGAAGAAACAATGCACACAAAAGGCCCCTTCCTAGAAAAGCTGGCACATCGCTGTGAGTCCCTTCCTAGGCTCTGAGTCTCAGGAAGGGAGGCAGTGACACTCATGCCAAGCTCCCTCTTCCTGCACTAAGAGTGGAACTTAGGGGAACTTGACTGGAAGGTGCAGTCAGCCAAGGGTGCAAATCATGATTAACACTTCACCTAAGACTGGAATAATGGAAAGTGTGACATCATGTGTCCTCTGGTCCAGAACTTCTATTTTACACACAAGAAAACAGATGAACAGGCCAAGAGCTGTGGCCAGGGTCCCAGAAACAACCAGATAGCATCATGCATTGGATGGGCCTCAGCCCACAGCACTGTGGCCACTGTGTGCTGCCTCACACTGCAGGGCAATGCAACATTAGGTCACCAAAGAGACTCTTTAGGAACTGTTTAGAGACATTTTAAACCTAGATCTTGCTATCTTCCCTAGAATGGAATTTACAACAAAAATATAAAATCATATGCCCCCTTACCCTCAAAAGCTTATCTTTCTGGGAAATTCTGTGCAAGCTTGCTTTGTATAATGTTAGTGTAGATGAAATGCTTGGCCCACACAATTGCTGGAGCTACAATGACCTAATCCATGATATCTTCACAAGAGAAAACCACCATGAACCACCTGTACCCCTCCCCACCTGCCAGGCATCCTCAATGCTTAACCATGAAGCCTGGTTCTGCTTCCCAGCCCTGGCTAGCTCAGCACCCACCTCACCTGCAAGGGAAGGCAAGAGGTGTAAGGATCTTTAGGGTTACAGGTGTGGCAGGATAACTGCCAGCAATAACCTGAATTTCAATAGAATATTCACCAGTGATAGCTTCATTAGTTATCTATTGTTTTTAGTAAGCATAGAAAAACATTTTTTAATCAGAATTATAGTCCCAAGTATACAAAGATTTTTTCCCTTCATGTCACAGTAATTTTCTTCCCTAAATTCATTAAGTAGCTCATATTTTTACTGCACTATAACTACATTTGAAAGCGTTTATCCTAGAAGAAATTTTTTTGTGGTTCTGGAATCTACATATTAGTTTAGAAGAATTAGAAATGCTTTTTAGAAAGCAACAATGTCAAGTTAAAAATGCTAAATCATTCTGGGCTTGATGACACAGGTTTGATATCCCAGCTACTTAGGAGGCTAAAGAAGGACAAGTTTAAGGCCAGCCGGGCAACTAAGCAAGATCCTGTCTCAAAATATAAAAAGCACTGAGATCTAACTCAGCAGTACAGCATCACTGAGTTCAAACCCCAGTACTATCCAAAGAAAAGAGGTAAACCATATGTGATTTTAAAAAGTAAGCATAACAGTAACTATATAACTAAAACTGAAGAATTTTCACTTTTAATGCTCCAGGTGTTAAGAATGCTTATGTAGAAGCAAATCATGTAACAAAAGAAAACAACTTATTATAGCATTATTACTGGGATTATAGGAACAGACCAGTAATCAAGTGTACAGCTTATACATGGCCCCTCACAGAGGCAGGGAAAATGTAACACTGTGATCAAAGGCTAGATAATCCTTGCCCTGGGTAGCAGAAGTCCCTGAGTATTTCTAAGGAATAATTAATGGTGTAAAACAGATATAGTGACCACACTCCCGGGCTTTAGTGTAAGGACAGAATGCTGACATTTGGGTGCCAAATAAGTCATGACAGTTTTAGCAATCCTGTTAATGACAAGGAAATAAAGGCATGAAGAAGAAAATACCTACTCTTCCCCTCACACAAAATCCTCTGGACCACGCCCTGGGAGAAGTATTCAGGCTGTTACTCTAGTCCAAAGCAATGAGAAATAAAGAAGAATAAAGAACAAAGGAAGTATAGTTTAAATATATTCAGTTATTAAAGATGAAGTAGAAAACAAACAGAACATACCAAAAAAGCCAAGAAAAGAAAAAGTCAATTTGAAAGCTCTACCTTTGGGCACTTCTATAAGTGCTTATTTAACTCCAAGGACTTCACTCTTTTATTTCTAAATGAGGTCATTTAAAATTCTCCTGAAGAATTTGTACCATCAATGCTTTCCTCCCCACATCAAAATGAAACTACTCTTAATTCCAATCTGACATGAGACAATGGGTTCAACTGTGAAGACTTCTTTAGGAGTTTTAGTTCTCTAATGAATAACATATTAACTTGATTATTCTGCCAGTCTACAGATATTCTGAACAAAACTTATATGTTAAGTCAAAGGGCCTGAGAAAACGGTGTATCATTTGAAACCCAAAACCTTACCCAACCATCAGCCCCAGCTATGCACTGACACCAGCACCACACTGGGGCCCCTTACCTCAATCATCCTGCTGTCCACAGGCAGCGTTGTGCTGACCATGTGGACATTAGGTGTGGATGTTGATCTCTGTCTCTGGGAGAGGGAACCTTCAGAGGAGGGGCTGGAGGAGTTGAAGGTAAAGGCGTGCGGTGTGGAATACCTGTGCTGGGAACTGGGCAAGAGGGGGGTAAAAAAGAAGATTCCATGACTGGCACTCAAGCCAACCCACTGGCACAGTCTTTCAGCTGCCTACACTTCACTAAAATACAATGGGGACAAATGAGCTATAAAAATGTCTCATTCTTTCAATCCATCATTTAAAAAAATTCTCTTCTGTATAAGTGCTTTGGCATGTAAACTGTGTTAACTGTGTTTGCAGTGTTAGGGATCAAACTCAGGGCCTTGTGCATACCAGGCAAGTAATTTTTGAAAATGAAAATACTAATGTATGAGCTCATAATTCACATGAAAATAATACATTACATGTTTTCTTTCCAATAAATCAGCTCTACACAATACATGGAATTTTTAAAGCATCTCCATGAAAGAATAAACTTTGGCAAATACCACTGCTAACCTAGCTGCAACCTGCCCAGTTTCACTTAGAGAACACATCAGAAATTGTTAAAGAAGATCTGGAGATGGTTAGACCTGCTGAATGCCTCTGCAAAAAGGCCAACATTCACCCACCATATATGTTCTCCCCTAAACTAGTGCACAAAAATTATGGTCAACTCAGTCCTAGATCTGAAATACCTAGCTGTGAATAAATCACTAGCTTCTTTCAGTCAATATGACAACCATCCCTTTTACCAACCAATCTGGTAACACATCTGGGGCTGGGACATAGCTCAGTGGTAATGTCTGGTTGCCAGGGTTCAATCTCCAGCATTGCCAAGCAAGACACAACAGTGCAGCCGGGGTAAAGCTCATAAGCCTACATGTATGAGACTCTGGCTTTCAGACCCAGCACCAAAAGACCAAGTAGAACATTTTTATTACCTGCTTTAAAGGTTAGTTTAACCTATGTTCAGATTCGGGTAAGATATATGAATTCAAACAGTAAGAAGTGGGGGCCCACCCATTAGCTCAGTTGTTTAAGTGCCTGCTTAAACAAAGCAGTCAGTCTCTGGGAGTGGTGGTTCGATACCCAGATACTCAAGGCAATCCAGACTAGCGCTGGAGGCAATCTGGAGCCACCAAAAAAAAAAATTATAAGAAGCTAATTTTTACAAGGCTGTTCTACCACCTTGAAGTCAACCTTCCCAACTAATTCCAGATGTAGCCTTCATAAACCTAGTTTCAGGCCGACAAGATTGCTCAGCAGACTAAAGTGCCTGCCTAGGCAAGCACAGGGATGAAGGTTCTGATCCCTAGCAATGCTGCACCAGCCCTGCCCCCAGGATGGGATGAACCTCACCAGAGTCCTGGGAGCATGGTGGTGCAAGTCTGTAATCCCAGCACTGAGAGCTGAGGGGAGGAGGATCATCATGAGCCAGAGCTGCATAGTGAGACCCTGCAACAACTACATTTTTTAAAAAAAGAAACCTAGTTTCTTTTAATCTTCAGAGGTAAGCACAATAGTCTGCTCTAGTGTGCTTTGCAAATTATCAAAAAATTAAAGCCATATACAAATATATTATTTCAATACAAATTTCTTGTGGTTTTTGTTTTGACACAGGATCTCACTATGTAGTTCAGGTTGGCCTCAAACTTAACGGCAATCCTCTAGCCTTGGCCTCCCAAACCCTGGGATTACAGCACCATCACACTCAGAAAATTCCTTTTTCTAAGATAATGCTATCTTTAACGATTTCTCCAGCAGTCTTACAATAGCTATTAAATGATACCTGATGACATATTTACTGAAGACATATTTCTAAGACACAGACATCATTTAGGTTCTCAATTCATGTGTAACACTGGGGCCGGGGAGATGGCTCAGTAGAATAAGTGCTTCCCTGGCAAGCACAAGGACCTGAGTTCAATCCCCGGTTCCGAAAAAATAAATTAATTAATTAATTAATTCATGTGTAACACTGAGCAAGCAATGAACTCAAATTGATCTGTTAAATGTAAGTTATATGGAAACTCACAGGCATTTTTAAAAAGGCATTTATATTGAAGATCTAATTAAATTCTTTTTTAACAATACAAAATCCTTAGAAGTACTTATTTTAGGTTCTAAATTCATGTGTAACACTGAGTAAGATGTGAGCTCAAATTGTAATCTGTTAAATGTACTGCAGTTACAGAAGAGACGCAAGTTCAAATCACTTTCCCAACATAAGAGCTACAGAGCCACAAAGAGACACTTCCACATCTGGCTGTGATGCAAGAAATAGCACAGAACAGAGGAGAGAATGTTAACAGCCCTGGCCTTCTGCCTTAGGGCTTCTGACCCCAGCACCCTGCCCAAAACAGCTTTCCAAAAGAAAGGCTCAGAGTCATAAGTTACCTAACAGGCATCCGGGAAACAGACTCTCGCATCCGACGCATTGTCAAAGAAGGTAGTGCTGGGACCCCACTGTCACCAATAGTGGAATTTGGAAACAACCTAAGAGAAATCAAGGAAAGACTGGATTACAGATGTGCAGGAACTTCAAAGAGGCCCAGTTGCCCTGCCCACTGCTAGCCATGAATGGCACTTTCCCCAGGCACATTTTCCCCACCACTCTGGCCACCTGGAGAAAGAAGACTGCCCAATGCCCAGCCTGGTGCCAGGGTGCAGTACATAAGAGATGTGGGCAACAGGAAACTATTTGCCAGCAAGCACATAGGCCCCAGCAAGATCTCTAGGACACATGGTATGATCTCCCACTATAACAAAAGGATGTATTTTAAAGTTACATCAGGGCATTTTACAACCTATGAACAGAAAGCTTTTCTGTAAACACATAAGGAAGGTTAAGTATAAAGAAAAACAAGACTTATCACCTAAAGGCTTAGGGCTGGGGAGATAGCTCAGCGGAATAAGCGCTTGCCTGGCAAAAGCAAGGGCCTGAGTTCAACCCCCAGTTCTTTTTTTTTTTTTTTTATTATTTTTTTTTTTTTTTTTTTATTACATTTATTTATTGTGTGTGTGTGTGGCCAGCTCAGCCCACCAGGGGGCGGGTCTGGCTGGCATGTGGTGCTGGGGATCGAACCGCGGTCCCTGTGCTTTGCCAAGCTTGTTTCAAGTAGGTGCTTTAGACCACTGAGCCATCTCTCCAGCCCCCTCAACCCCCAGTTCTGCAAAAAGAAAAAAAAAAAAAAAAAAAAAACACACCTAAAGACTTAAATAAAAGGAGAAGTGAAGTGATAATTATCTGGGCTCTGTCTTTCCACATGGGAGAACTGAGAGCTGTCTCAAGCTGGTTCAGAACACTATAAAGAAGGCTAATGCCCTAGCTTTCAGGTATGTTAATTAAGGTTTCATTATGTCACAGGTAAAGACAAAACTAGCATGCCAATGTAACCACTGGACTCTAAGCGTGTGCCCTCTGTGTTACTCAGGCTCAGTCAACACCAACTGCCATGCAAGTGAAAAAGATGTTCCCATTGTGGACCAAGGCAATGTTCCCTTGACTTCTATGGTACTCTAGGTAAAAAATGAAATTTGGCATTTCACAGTAAGTTTTTAAAAGGCATTTTGAAACATGTACTTTAACTGTAAATTTTTCATTATTTAATAAAATCAACTATTTTGTCTGTATAAGGTAGTTTGGTACCTGGTATGGCTTCTGGTAAAAGTATGCATCTTTCAAAATTTTATTCTCAAACTTAAGCCCAAATGACGTCTTCTCCAGTTTCAGATGAAGAAAATAGCACTAACTATGGTGTACAAGACTGTGTGCAGATCTTTGCACATGGGCACACCTATGCGGGCTAGGCACTGAAAAATCAGGGACACTTCCCATTAAACTATATCCTTGGCTCTTTTAAAAATTATTTTGAAACAGGGTCTTGCTACGTCACTCAAGTTGTCCAGGCTATGCTCCCACTAGTCACCCTCCTGCCTCAGCCTCCCAGAATGCTGTGATTGTAGACATGCGCCACCATGCCCAGCCCAGATACTCCTTCTGAATATCATAAGGTCCACTGACCATGTTCAACAAAATGAAGAACACTGTCTGCCTGGTAGATGTCACTAGCAGAAGCAAAGGTGCAAAACCTTTCAGCTTTCACACCTCTTTGTTCATTCCTCCTTGTGTCACAGTATGCCAACATTAACTGGACAGATGATGGCTTATAATACCACACCAAGATAGCTACTTTCAAAACTATCACACTGCTAATGTAGGTGGTTTCCAAGTCACAAAGATATCTACATTCTCATCCTTCCATTTGGGGGTGTCTTACAAGAGCTGTCTGATGTTACTCCAGTCCACACACATAGTAGGGACTTTGGTGCTACAGTGCTCGTGAAATTTGTAGCCACAAGTCTGACATCGAAACCCATTTAGCAGGAACTTCTGACAGATATCACAGAAGGCAAGCTTCAGGAACGTCTTCCGAGCCTGTAACAAGAACACAGGGTTAAGTTGTACTAAGTAAAGATAACCCAAGATAGTTTATTTTCTCCATGGTGTCCAAGAGTTTACTCAAATGAAGAGTCATGTTTCCAAAGTCTATATAATTCATAACCAAAAATTAGGTGTATTTCCAGGTAGTGGAATATAAACAACGGCATAATTAGAGCTTTAATAATCCAATAATCTACATCCTAATTACCTCACCTATCAGAAGCTCCTATCATGTAAAGTAAGGCACTCAACATGCCATGAAACAAGAAGAGATCTGCAACTTACAAAGTTGTGTGTTGTGAGGGGAACATGATCCAGGAAATCTACTTGAAGTTCTTCTCCAATCAAAGAGGCAGCATCAGTATTCCAATCTAAACGTGCTTTTTTACTATAGAAGATTTTAAAAAACATGACATGAAAGGAAAATGCTGAAACAAGTTGACAGTCCAATATGAGTAACACAGCTACCTTTTACTGTGTGTTATTTAAATACAACTTATGTCCAAACAGCATTCACATATGTAATCTAGACAACAAACCTTTAAAATAAGTCTATTAACCCATCTCACAATAGAAAAATATGGGGCTCTGAGAAGATAAGAAAAGGACCTATGTTGAAATTCATGTCTGAAACCCAGCCTGGCGCCACATGCCTGTAATCCTACCACTCTTTTT